TCATCAGGTCCCATGGACTTGTGCACCTTATTCCTAGTTTAAGTGGTTCCAATTGGCTCTTGAAGTCTTTCACTTCAGTGAAGCAAATGAGATGTGGTAGACTTGAGTTCCAATCTTCATTGCTCATTTCACTTTGACCAATGAGTTTTCTGCAAGCCTGGGTTAACAAGGCACATAGATAGTTTGCAGAGTAGGGCTATATCATTTTAAAAATTATCCCTTTAGAATTGATAGCTTGTTGATATTACACAGTGTTACCGTTATTGAAATGGTCTCTAGAATTGTAAGGCTTAATTAGCCTTCATTCAAAATATTTGAGAAATGAATTAGTGAATGCTGTTCAGAAAGGATTTTAGTTATCATTCAGCTCTACTAAATCTGAAGCAGATTCCAGCTTCCAAGTCTTTTTTTTTTTGCGATTGCTCATAACTTTTCTTTTTAGTGATCCCAGCAGCCAAGGGGAGATGCGGAGGAGATATGATCTTGCCAAATTTCTTTTGGCTGTTTTAAATGTAATTTTGTTCAAAACGTGTTTGGAATTGCATTACAAATTTAAAAAAAAAGAAAAGACAAAGCATAGTATCTGTTCTAATACCATTTAAGAAGTGTTGAAATTACTTTCTTACTGTGTAGCAATCACTCCCAGCAGTTGGTGAAAAAAAATAACCCAAAGAGTTTCTTTCCTCTCTGTTCTTTCTATTCACAGTTACGCTGGTTGAAACCTTTTGCTAACTCAGCTGACATACCAGCCTTTTCAAAGACATTGTGGGAATGTCATCCTCTTGCAGAGCGACGTGAATAGCTTCAGAGTCTGACCTGTTGTGTGCGCAGGGGAATGTGTCACTCTCGAAGCATAGCTACCTGAGGGAGGCAGCTTGGCAGTACTTCTAATGGCCAATGATTCTATGAAAATTTACAATGGCAAACAAAGAATATTATACATGATAGGAACAGGAGGGTTATTTAGATAGGCATAATATACTGTAGTTACTGAAGTATAAATGACTGTGAAAGAAAGGGACAGATTTTTGTCAAGCTGTGTCTGCTATATACCATACGTTGTATTTAAAGGAGACAGAACCGAGGTAAACAATCACAGGCAGCTCGCTGCAGAAGGTGAGAATGTGTGAAAGGTAGGGAGCCAGTGAAATGACCAGATAGTCTTTCTGACTTGGAGAATGGGGGATGTGGCAGTAAGGAAGGAAGCTGCCCCACACCATTGGAGTTACTTGCTGCTATTTTGGTCACTTGGGAATATTGGCAGTTGGCAAAATCTGAAAGCAGCCCTAACCCCTGCAAGCTAACACTGCTTTGGTCGTCTTTGTCCTTATCTGGAGCACCTTCTCTTTTCAAAGTAGTTAATACAGCTGGGTTTTTTTTAGGAAAAGATCTGTTCTGAAACGGAATGAGTTTTATCTAAAACAAGGTTTTTAAAAAGTCACCCTCGCAAGTTGGCTTGAAAGGCTGAAAACTAACTCTAGCTTGCATATATTTAGGGCAGTTTGCAAAACCAGTGTTTGTTGGTATTTAGTATAACCTAGTCTGTGACCCTCCTTAGTAAAAGAAATCTGGTGAAATTTTACCCTGGAGTCACAATAGTAGTTTCCCTCTTTCTGGTTTCATTTGATCTCCCAGGGAGAAGTAATAGTCTCCCATGTGGCAGTGGGAAAGGGAGATGTTCACCTTAAGGACATGCGTTGAAAATAAATCCGAAACACATTTCCTTGCACATAACCCAGCTCTTTGTATTGAAATTGCCCTTTGGATTTTAGAGTGATTGTGGAAAATCTGTGAGCAAGTCTTGGGCTACTAAGACCATCAAATGGCTTATCCTGTTCTTGAGATTTGTTTCAGTAGAAGGTGCAGGAAATAGAGATTTAATTCTTTTATTCAAACTCAGTAGATGGTTTGGGACAATTAATTTCCAATTGTTTCCCAGTAGAGCAGATTTACTTGTATATTAATGAGGCACAGGTGTTAGGCCCCTGGTGCCTGCATGCCTGGGAGGCATATTTAGGTTGTTTATCTAGTCAGCCATAGGTACTGCAAGGTACTCAAGCTTGCCTTTAACAGTTTATACAGTGAGGCTTTTTAATTTTTTGATGTTTTTTTAAATTTGCTAGCACCTGTTAAAATTTTAAAACTGATCATGTAGAAAGAAGTAGGAGTGATTTCAATAGTAAATAGCACTAAATGTTAAAGAAAGTCATCTTCTATTATGCTTAACTGCCCAGCTTGACATTAAGAAGAAAAGAAGGTTCATTTAAGCAAATATGTCATGTGAGGAGCTAATACAGTCAACAGTATACTTTTCGGTTGCATATTTTTGGAATAGGTACTTCTTTGTCTACAGCTGAAACGTGAATGTGCTTATATTAATATTCATTTTTCTTGTTTATTCACTGAACTGCAGTACCAACATTTTAGAGGAAATGGAATAGCCTCCATAGACATTATGAATTTCAGTAGCTGGCATAATTATAGCGATCTACATATTCATTAAATCCAAAGAAGAAATGTGTCCAAAAAGACAGCCATGCGTTTAGAAATGGTACACAACTAAATATATACATTTTAAAAAGTTCCTTTCCTCTGCTTTTCTGAAATTGTGTAGTGTCATATAGTCCTTAAATCAAATAAGACCTTTTTTTTGTGGTTAAAATGTTCGTTCCTTTTGCTTTTGCATGCAGTAAAGAATGGGAAGAACTATTTGTAAACAACAATTACTTGGCAACTATACGGCTGAAGGGGATTAATGGGCAGCTGAGAAGCAGCAGGTTCCGTAGTGTTTGCTGGAAGGTAAGAAGAGAAAATATTTATTTACAGTTTGTGGTTGCAATATATCAACACATTACCTGATGCGCTGGAAGATTATTGATGCAAAGAATCATGAATTTTCCAAGAGACTTCATCCCAATGTTTTCCTACTCATTTTTATAATTCATAGGACATTTGCTAATCGTATTGAGTTGCCTTAAAGCTGAATTGCGGGTGATAGCAAAAGATTCCTAGGAAAAAAATCTCTTTATGCTGGGTAGTGTGCTTAGAATTGAGTGCCACACAGCCATCTCTCTTCTCAGTCTCTGTGCAGAGAAGTCATGCACTGGAAATAAAAAGGAAGTTTGTCTCACAATTTATGTTTTGTGGAACTTGGGACTCCTCTAAAATCAGTCTGATGCTTCTGCTAGCAGTTTTTCCCAGTGAATTGAGAAGATGAGAACCAATCCGTCTTGTCATGACTGGATGGAGAGGGAAGCCCCGTCTTCCAATCTTAAACCACAGCAGATCCTCAGAGGTCTCTTATTGTATTTGTTAAAAGTTGTACAGGAAGGGAGAAAGAAATCAAAGTAGTACTGAGATGCTATATGAAGTCCAAAAGAATTTTGTTGCACTGGCATCAGGTCTTCTGTTCTGCACTAACTTTGACAGTATAGAACATTTTCCCTAGTAGAGATGCTGTATGTTAACACCAATAACTTAAATCACCTCACTTGGAATTTCTCAAGCTTCACTTTGACACAAAGACCTATACAAAGAAAATGAAAATACTCTTTGTATATGAATGAAAGAAATTTGAAAATTGAAGTTTGAAATTTGAAATTTATTTAGCATTGAGCAAATTTAAGTTTAATGAAAATGCTTTCTTCAGGAAACCAGGTGAATATGTGCCACAAGAATTGTTTTACCAGTCTGCTGCTTCTTGAGCCTCGCAGTCAACTAATTAAATCAAAGTGATTTTATTTTAGAAATAAGGCTGGATTTATTTCCATGTCCCGATATGGGTTAGGGCTCTGTTTTAGATTCTCTGTTCTAAAAATATTATCAATATTTTTGTTAAGTTCTGAAATATTTAAGTATTTTTAATAATTCAGGAGTGGTTTTTGTTTGTCAGTATTTACTGTTTAATGACACTTTGTAATGTGTGAATAAAAACATTTGCAATGCAAGAAAATACTCCGTTTTTTTCCATATTTTGTATGTAATTAAGTAGACTTTTCCAAAAGATGTTTCTTCCTAACTCTTTTTAAAAAGAAATGTGAAAGAACCAACATGTAGGCATTCTCAAGGACTTTTTGCAAAATCTGCTCTTCTAACTGTCTTGCAGAATCCTAGAACATGTTAGTTTTCTGTAGACTAAGGTTTTCCCTTTCCTGATTCCTTACGTAGAGTATATCTCTCAGTGCTTAGTTTCTGCTCTGCATTTATGTTTGGTTTTAAGCATGTTGCATGAGCTCATCAGTGTTATGTAAATAGTTCAAGTTTTGTATATTTATTTTCATCTCTTCTTTGCAATTTTTTTCTACCTTGAAAGTCTCAGTGAACTTTACTGAAGTTATGAGAGTTTACAAAGCTTGAGTTTGTGGCTTCAGATTTTTTAAATGTTTTATTTCCTACTGGAGAACTGCTATTGTTTCTAGCTTCTTATTTATTGACTGGAAAGTACCAAAGCCAGGAGTATTTTACAGGTCTTTGCTTTCTTCTCCTTATGTGTAGCATACTTACACCTCCTTTCTGAGATGGTTTATGCTGTGTGGTAGGATTTATATGAAAAGCTATGTTAAATTGATTAATCTTCATGGGTTTATTTTGTTTTGTTGATAGTTATTTCTGGAGGTTCTACCCCAAGACAGAAGTCAATGGATTAAAACCACTTCAGACTTAAGAACTTCTTACAATAAGATCAAAGAAATTGTAAGTTAGTACAAAATAGGTTCTCTACTCTCATGCATTAACAGAGGTAGTAATACTTACACTATAAGGAAGAGAATTTGATGTTTTTTCTTTTTTTTACCCAGCACATTACAAACCCTCGGAAAGCAGGACAGCAAGATCTGATAATCAACAACCCACTCTCTCAGGACGAGGGGGTAAGTTGACCCTTGGTTCTGTCAACATATGTGCTACTAAAATTCTCATTATCATCATACTGACGCAAATGAGTTCTTGCTGAAGAAGGGAAAATGGCAGGTGCTAAAATCTCCCTCCTAAATTTCCAAACTGATTTGTGTTAGCAGTGGTTCACAGGCTCTGCTGAACAACCAGAAATGTTCATTTCCAGGTTAACTTTCTGATTTTTCAGGGCTTATCATAGGGAAGGCTGTGACAAACAAAAAATTGGTTCTGGGCTCTAAGTCCAGTTTTACAGCATATCCTTTATTTAACTGATAAGCTTTTTTATTGCTGTGTGTTTTCGTTTTACACGCAAAATGGCTTTAATTGAAGGAGTGTTTAAACAGTCAATATGAAGGGAATGTTGTTAACAACAAATACTGAAGAACCCTCCTCTGGAAGCCTGTTTAGTCTTGGAAGTTTTTCTCCAGCAAAAATAGAATTGTTGTATGTCTGAGTTGTATATGTGCTGAGTTAATGTCTAAAGCACCAGGCTGCAAAATATAAATTTCTTCCAAGGTTTTAACTTCTTTTTCTTTATACAGTTAAAAGAAACAAAAGTTTCTTTTCTAATCAGATAGCAGCACGCTGCAAAATGACAGATCCAGATTTTAAAGAAACACTGAAAATGTAGTAAAAGTATTTGGCCTGACTGTCATTAAGTGCAGAGCATCCTGCTCTCACTGAAATTAATGAGACCTCTTAGTAGCTTGGTATTTTCAAAGTCATGACACTTGAATGAGGGTTTACATATAGATTTGAGAGCTTAATTTTAGGTGAGTTGTTTTTGGGTTTTTTTTAATGCTGCATTTTATTATACCTGGAAAGCTCTGAGGTATTTTGTAGCACATACCTTTAAGCTTCTTCGTTAATTGTGTTACCCTTTCTGATAATTCTTTTCATCACATTTTCAAAATAACTTAATACCATGAAAATAATTTGCTTGACTACATTTAAGAGATTTACACCCAGAAAGACCATCACAGATATCTTTGGTGGCACTGCTTGTGTTTCCATTTTGTTCACAAAAATGGAAGCCCATATTTTGCTTGTATTTAGTATGGTACTCTGCTTCATATTTAGTGTAGAAGGGGGATAGGTTAGCTTGTGGAAACATGGAAGTATTGATCATAGGCACATTGGTGGTTCTACAGCTCATATGATTGTGCATGCCATCAAACCATTCTTGCATCCATCTGAGCAGAAAGTTGTGTCAAATGTAAAAGATTTAAAGCGTTTCTGCGGTAGTTTGTGGTTGTACACAATGGCACAACCTTTTTTCTGCCTATAATGTCTTTAGGAGATAGAAAACAAGGGTTAGCATGTCAGAGTTTGTGGCAGGGGATTAATCTATAAAACAAAGCCACAGGCCAAACCAGGTGAAGGAATGAAAAGCCAAGTGCCTCTGAGCCTCTGCAGTGACTTAATGTTTTACCCTTTTGGCGTCCTGGGTTTTGCCTCCTGTTTGCAGTGAAGATTCTGTTTCCTTCATCCTTTGCTCTGATGGACTAGGCTCAGAGGAGGGGCGGGGGAGTTTCAAAGTGTGAGCTAGCTGCATGAAAAGAGCTGCAAGTTAAAAAGATACTAGTTTTACGTAAGATATTGTCAAGGATATAAATACTTTTAAAGTTGGGGATTTTTATCATAGTTTGTGACACAAATATAGAAGCCAATTAACATTTTCTTTTTTGTTTTTCTACCTTCCTTCTGCTAGATAAAATTAATTTACTTTTTCTTTCTGTGGAGCATAAGCCACCATGACAATGAATTGTTTGCAGGGGAGCAAGAAATCCTGGAAGTATTCATAGAATCATAGAATGGTTAGGGTTGGAAGGGACCTCAAAGATCATGTAGTTCCAACCCCCCTGCCATGGGCAGGGACACCCTCACTACATCAGGTTGCTCAAAGCCTCATCCAACCTGGCCTTGAACACTTCCAGGAATGGGGCATCTACAACTTCTCTGGGCAACCTGTTCCACTGCCTCACCACCCTCTGAGTGAAAAATTTCTTCCTTGTAGCCTCTCTCTTTGTACGGTGTTGTACGGTTCATTCGCTGGTGTTACTGCTATCTGAAAATTAACCTGCATGAAGAGACTGCTATAAATTTTGTTCCTTCTGTATTTTGATCAATATGGCCAAGCTACCATCCCTTTACAATAAAGAACAGGCTTTATAATACTTTTTCTGGAGCATAGAAGCAACAACATTTGCTGACTTTTTTCAGGTTGGCTTTTGCAAAATATTAGTAAACAAGGCATGGAAACAAAGGAAAGAGAACAAAAATGATCATAAGCTCAGATATAGAAGAAGCTAAGCCTACTTTAAACTCTTTTATTTACTATTTTTTCATGTGGACAGTGAGCTTTAAATACCCTGGTTTTCCCTATCAGATTTTTTTTAGAATGGCCAGTCTCAATATGCACTGTGTATATGTACTGTTAGAATGACGTGGTTTTCATAATAGGTGTTCGATCACCATACACTCCTTATTAGATTTTGCCTCTACCAAGACAATCTAGCTTACTTCCAAACAATTTCTTAGTGTGGAAATTATGGCAGCTTCCAGCTAGAGTCTGTACATTCATAGGAGAAATGTAGTATGGTACGGTGATACAGACCTTTTTCCATGAGTGAACTACTGAATTTTTTTCAGCTGAGCTGCTGGTTCTGGTAAGTTTGAATTTACTCTGCCTTCCTAAATATGCTTCATAGACCTCTTACAATTAACTCACAGACCTAAAGCCATCCAGTGAGTGAATGGAGTCAGCCTAGAACAAGGATCCAGGAACTTGAATGTTTTCATCTCTGATCTAAACTGACTTTCTCAGATATGTTAGGCTTGTCACCAACATTGTTCTTCACCCATAAAATATTGATATACCTATTTACCAGGAATGTTAAGGATTAATTAGTTAATATTTGTACAGTACTTTGCTGATGTAGTATGTAAGCCTTTAGTAGAAGTCTCTATTTCATACAATTATTTTTCCTTATTTCAGAGTCTTTGGAATAAATTTTTCCAGGATAAAGAGCTTCGAACAATGATTGAACAGGATGTAACAAGAACGTATGTAGAGCTTTAAAAAAATTTCTATATGTAAATTTAGATTCTATGTTTTTAAGTAGTATACATTATATTGTGTTTTCTTGACTTGGGTTAGTGTAAATGTCAGGACTGTTGAACATGAAAGTGTAGAAACATACACTAAATGTATAAAAATACAGCTTTATTGGAGTGAAAAATGAGAAAATTGAGTTAAACATTAAACCTTGGAGATTTATTAGAATCATTGAAGAAAATCTCTTCTAAATTATGATATTAGGAAATGTGATACTATGTGAAATTTAAAGTTTTCCATATGAAGCAAAGAGAAGGTAAGAGAAACTGAAAGGTCTTTTAGCTAAATTATTATCATAATAAAAGATTGAAGAGATTCTTTAATTCTTAACATTTATTCAATCAGTTTGTAATTAATAAGGGAAATGTCACTCATCTAGAGAAGTTAAGATTTCTATTTTTATTTATCGCTTTTCTAGAGTTATTTATATTATATTTTCATCTTCTTGGCCCTTAGGTCATTCCTCTTTAGGAACTTGTTTGAGTCAGAACACTCATCATGAAAATGTTTGTTCTCAGAGTTGAAGCATTGACTGATGTGTAAATCTAATTAAATTCAATTACTGGTTTGCTACCATGTGAAATTTTACGGTATTGCAAATATTTTTTCCTTATAACTTGAAAAAAGTGATGATAGTCGTAGATTTTAAAAATCCCAAGCTCACGCATTTTCATTTACAGAAACAAAGTCATGCAGAAGAAATCATTGCTGTCTGGTTTTGGAATATTGTATATGTCCGTCCCTAGACCCATTCTTGAATACGTTTTGCCATGAGATGTATAATTAAAATCTGAGTGCGCTTTCATGTGCATTCTCACAGATGGTATTTTTTTGTTTGTAAAAGGAAACAGTTCAGGATGTTCTAAGATTAAAATACATGCGTATCTAAAATATAATTGGAGAATGAAAAGTTGTATGGAGGTTATGTTGGATGTAAGAACGTTATTAAAAAAAAAATATAGAGAGATACACAGACTCCAGGCTCTCACTCCAGCAAATGGCAGAGTGAGTAATATTCACTAATATCAGAGAGAGTGATTAAATAAATTTCGATTTATGTATTTATACAAAGTAACATCTACTTGAAACAATAGCAGCATACATTATGTGTCATCAATATCAAAATAAGTCAAACAATGAAGGAGAAAAAATTATTAAATTAACATGAATTTATTTAATAAACTACATGCATTTATATATACACTTGTTATTTGGCTAATCATAAAACATAGTGTGCATTTTATGTATGCATATGTATCTATTTGTAAACTATCATAAGTGTAAGAAGCGGTAAGTTCTACTTTCCTTGGCTTTGGAGTGTAAGTACTCTCTCTTTAATGTTGTCCTTTTCATTTCAGTTCTTTAAATAAATTCCTGGAGTTACAAAAAAAAAAAAAATTATCATTAACTTGCAATGCTTTTTATTACAGGTTAAAATAATTGAGTATTATATTCAGTTACCATAATCATTACCTTCTAGATTCTGTTTCTTATTTAACAAATGTTTTTATATTCTTTATCATCAAGTTCAGTACTCCATCATCCAACAGCATCAAGTAGATAATGCTGCAGAGTGTGATGCTAACTGCACACAGACTAGCAAACCAGAGTCCCATCAAAGCAGTAAAAAATTTACTCTATAATGTTGTATTAGAATTCTCTGAAATGTAGTAATAATAATAGATGGGAAAAGTGGGTAGAATTATGCTTTTTAAATTGGTATTGGTTTAAATTGTTTTAAATTTCAGAATTCTGTTACCTGAAGGGAACTGTGATAAAGTTTTTTCGTGTGTGTGTGTTCATATCCGTTTTTTGAGTCCTTATGTCACCTAATAATTAGATTTGTAAAACATAGATGCTCACAGCTGGACTAAGCATCCTTTAGAGTCTATATACCTGAAGAATTCTAAAACAGAAATCATTTCTTCCTAAAGTAAATGTCTAGTATAGGTCTGATGAATCACACTATAGAGAAGTGTGTTTTTCTTCAGTAATTATAAAAGGCTTCTTGCTCATCTATATCTAAATAAATTGTAGTCACCTAATGTCAGGTGAGAGTAATCCAAGCCATGATGTCTAAATATAATTTTTTGCTTCTTGCATAATTGGAACTTCCAATGTTTAGAAGAGAAGCAGATAAGGATTTTATTAAGTTAGTCTTAACTCATTAGTGATCAACATTTCTAATTAATCACCTGACTTGTTTTTTACAGTAGTTGAGAGGTTCAGAATGAATTTTCCTTCAGCTGTCTAGAAATGTGTACTTTTAAGCTGGAACCGAACACCATCTCTTTCTATCTCAAGTGGGAATCTTCTAAAAATGAGTGGGAAGGAGTAAGGGAGGTTTACTATAATGCAAGTAAAAGCCTTACTTTAAATGTAAATAGCACTACCAACCAAGTTGTGACTATAATACCACATTCTATTACTCTGCTGAGAAAGGAAGGTGTGTATGAACTAGCACCATAGTAACTCATAAGAGACTTAAGAATGCAGTGATTAATTACTGTCATTCAAAAGATGTACCAAGGAATAATGCTGATTTATTTTGTGGTGATTAAGAACGTAAGTAATAAAAAAGAATTTTTAAAAATATTCTGCAGAAATGGAAAGTCAAATCAGAATACCAGTCAACTTGCTGGCATCACCTTGTATGTCTAGGATTATAAATGGCTAGATTTGATTACCCTCTTTCTCTCTCCAGTATTTTAAGAAAACAGAAAGCTTAGGAGTCATTCCCAGTAGACTAATCAAGTGGATTTCTTTTCTTTTGTTATATATTGGTCTACATAGTTTCTACTTCAGGAGTAACCATCACAGTTTAGGACAATGGAAGCTGTGTGAAGATGAGTAGTGGTGGGTGCTGCTCTTTCAAACTCTGCAATTCCCAAATTATTAAAAAAAACAACCCACCCCTAAAAAAAGGTAGTGGAGAAGCCATTAGGCAGCTGCGTCCTTCCTAAGCATATAGAAGATATGAGAAGAAACAGCAATCCATTGAATATAAACATAGAAGACAAAACCTACTTTCTGTGTAAGAGGAGAGACTGCTGGAAGGAAGAGCTACCTTTATACACCAATTTATTCCTTTTCCAGAAAAAAGCGTGCAACAGGGGAATGGTTATTATTATTCTCTACCAAACCTTTACCATTGCAAGAGCATCTTTTGTTTTTTCTGGTTTAGCAGCTTTCCCCATTCCAGCTGAGTAACAGGGTTTGGGAATGGCAGGGGATACAATCTGTTCATGAAAGAAAAGATGGTCACTCCATGGCTGTGGTAAAGAGCCTCATTTCTGTATGCCACCAAATTTGTTTCGTAAAGTATTTGTGCATCCTGTTGTTTGGTTGCCAGCCCAAGTTTCTTCTGTGTCAAAGTTTGGCTGCCTCTGGTATAGGGGTCCCTAAATGGGCTAAAGAAATGTTTTTAAAAGTGATAACTGACTCATACTGGTCTTCACTTTCAGAAAACAAGGACTCGAATGCACCATTGTTTAATAGTAGGAGTTGTGGTAAAACAGTCTAGCAAAATTTCCATGTCCTTATGCAGTCTTTCTCAGAAATGTAATTAAATGTCATATTCTAGTGTTCATGAAAAGTATTCTTACCTTGCCTGATTTGAGGATACTGTGTTTCTAAAACAGTGCTTTAATCATAAAATTACATTCTCCGTAAAAATCCATCCTGAACTGATAGTTCCCTTGTGATCTCTTGTATTTACATTTACCATAATTAATACTTCAGCCAGCTTATTCCTGAGTTTGTTATTATCCTTTCTGTCACAATCTCTGGTATTACTAGATCCTCACAGATACCTCTGTGTATTTTTAAGTTTTCTTTGTTAGTCTTCTCCTCCTAAACTTCATAGGGCAGGCCTGAATAACAGTCCTTCAGAAATAATCTCTTCAAACCCCTAAATTATGTCGATTGCCATCTGCTGTAATGCACTTTTGGTCTCAGCTGTGTCCTTCCGTTACAGTAATATGATTAGTACAAGTGCATACAAGTTTCCAAATGTTGGTCTACCATTACCCCCATCAGGTGCCAGGAAAAAGTTACACCTCCCATCCCAATGTCTTTCTCAGGACTTCAGCATTGCTGTGTTTAAGCCACGGTGTCTTCTCTGCCTGGGCTCTTGACTCAAGTTCTTCATCCAAGGATTTCAAAGCACCTTTCTAGCCTTAATTAGTTCTGTTTCTGTGCTTACCTGTCATCACCTCTGTGAGATGACCACTGTAATTATTAAAACTAATAGTTTTATCTGAAGTAATTTATTATATTTCCTGTATTTTTTCTCTATGATAGGCTTTACAACAGCCTTAATATAACTGGTCTGAAGTTTAACGTTGTAGCTCAGACTTGGGAAGAAGGAAAACCAAAAGTTGCGTAAGGAAAACTTACCTGCAATCCATGTGATTTCATTTTAAAACTGGCAACATTGTAGCCTTTATTTCAGCAATCTAGCCTGAGGCCTACCCTTGTTGTCTGCTTGTTTATTTATTTTTAAGTATTCTTCTATTTTTCTTTGTCCAGCTTTATCTGTTTCTTTCTTTTTAGTATTCTACCTTTTCAGATTTTTTTGGTTTATTTTTTATTGCATCATATAGCTGGATATGGTTTAGGGTGGCTGCTTTATGAAACATTTTTTGCCATCTAGTTATTTCTTCAGTAAGCATGAAAACACTTTACTTGTGCACTTATTCATTAAAGTACATCCTGCATAACCACTTGATTTCCTACCTCCAGCAGTCAAGGAGCAGGATGCACAGGTGACAGTTGCTTCAGAATGGTTACGGGTTGTAAATATTTACATTATCCTGGATTATACACAGATAAAAGGATTTTCCCAGAAGCTTTTTTCGTTTTTCTCACACTAGGTCCACTTCATTTATTTTGACCTAAAGGGCATTTGCCCTGCCAGAGTATCAAATAATTTCATAATTGTAAAGTTTATATTTGAGACAGCTGCTAAAGGCGATGAAATTACTAATTATGTTGCATCACAAAAGGTGCCAGTAAGATATGTTAGAGCTTAGGATACTGGTTTTCATGTCAATTATGAGATATTTTAATAATCTTGTCATTAAAATGCTGATCATTTTTCAAATATTCATTAAATACGGAACCCTTGTGTATATGCTGCTTCTGACATACTCTTCTTTCTTCCACTTTATTCCAGTTTAGAACTGGAATTTTTACAGACTTCTTTAACATCTTGCAGTTCTTGTGCTCTTCCTTTGCTGAACTTTTATCTTGAGAAAGATGAAAAGCAGGGCTAAGCACTGCTTGTGCAACTGTGGGGCAGACTGATGGTCCAGTTACAGTTGCCAGCCTAACACAGATTAAAAAAATGGGAGCATGCTTTTTATCTACGGAGATTTAATCTTCAGTGTTTATTTTTCCAGTACATGAATGAAATTAATCAATAGATAACTGTTTGGAACAGTTTTAGTTTTAACTGACTTGGTTTTTTGAGGGGAGAAGTGTCTGCTTGGATTTTTTGATCACGCTCCTTTTCTAAGTGTTCCTAGCAAGTTTCAGATTCATTGGTGAAGGACTGACAATCAGTGGAGTACAATCTTGGAGTTAAATTACTGTCGGGATGCTGTGCCACCTGGGACCAGAACGGTCTTCTGAGCTGCTGGGTTTGGCAGTAAGAGTCTGTGTGCAGGAAAGAGAGGGCAGATCTTGGCTTCAGCCATTGCCTCTCATTCCATCTCCTTTCATTTTGCTTCAACTCAATTTGTTGTCATGACATGAAGGAGCAATGGAACCTAGTTCGTTAGGCAGGAACATACTCATATGGTACATCGTTTTATTTTGATTAGATTCTCCAGGTCATTCATTTTCAGTAGATTGGCTGTTTGTAAGAAGTTGACGATCAAAACAATCTGCCATTGCATTTCATTCTTGCAGATCTCCAGCTTTCATAATATTAATAGGGATTACTTATTTTAATATAACTCGTGGTATCATCACATTTATGTAGAGGATAAATGTATATTAAATAACACAGTTCCGAATTTTGGTTGCAAAACAAATATAACTAGTCTTTAGAAGTATTCTTAACTCTAGCAGCACCCACAGTTCGCAGAGCGGTGGGAAAGCAGACAAGGGAGGTGCTGTCTTACCTGAAACCGTTTCTAGAGAAGACCAGCGACTGAGATTCTGTGCGCCGTATTGTTTACTTCGGCTGTATTTCTTCATTTTCAGCTTTCCTGAAATGCAGTATTTCCAGCAAGAGAATGTGAGGAAAATTCTTACAGATGTTCTGTTCTGCTACGCCAGAGAAAATGAGCAGTTGCTTTATAAACAGGTAATGAAAACACTGTACAGGTGGCATTCATTGACTCAACATTTTCTATACGGTTTGACAATAATGTAGCTCTGTTATATCTGAAGTTGTATCATAACACTAAAGTAATCAAAGAGCTGTTTGTCAGCTGGATAGTAAGAAAAGTAAGCTCATTGAATAGCATATGCTTTCTCCTCATAACACGGTCCCTCAAATTGTTTTCTTTAAGGTTGCTAAGTTGTCTAACTTCAAATTTCTTTAAAAACAACATCTTTTTCTTCAGTGTTGGTTAAGAAAGGAAAAAAAATGAAAGGCTTTCTCTACTTAGGTAAAGAAAGTATGCAGCAGGATCAAAAATGGTACTGAATAAACAAAAAACATAAATAGTGACTTCTGAAACTTTGCCTAAGTTTGCTATTTGAAGTTTTACATTATATCTTAAGTTCTTCCTCAAAGTGCTAAAGCCATGTGATCCATTAGTGAAGATCTTTTATCTCACCCTGTAGCATTCAAACACAATGCAGCTGACAAATGCCTCTTGACTGAAGGATAAGGGTGCTACAAATACCACTTTTGTTTTGATAAAATGGTAAAGAAAGCTGTAAAGCCACACTAACTGTGCATCTATATGGGATGCGGGCTAAATTAATTTAACTTTTCTTCTGAAGGTTTTGAAGTGAGTATAAGCTTGATACTAAATTAATATAGCATGACCAATATGCAGAGTATAGATAGAAGTATATTTGTATTTGTTTCTTCAGGCTATTAACTGTAGAGTGAGTAGGGACTGACAAACTGAGGGATACGCTCTGTGCATGCACGAAGGATAAATTGTAGAGCAGCAAACTTTAGGTAGACAGAAATTTTTTCATGACAAAAATACAGAGGTTCAGTAAATGTGAAGGTTTTTATAAGACACTGTATGCTTTCAGGCATGGTCTGTGCTCACCCTGTCCTCAAGCCAGGAAATTAGTGGCGTTTTGTGAAAAAAAAAAACAACAGATATGAGTTGAAGGAACAGTTACTTGTGAAGAATCTGTCCTACAGATTATATCAAAAATCAAATATATAGTTACCAAACATATGAAATCTCTATCAGCTGATTATTTCTTATGTTTGACAGACTGTGAGCAAGGAGTAGTCTTGCATGAGAACAAGAAAAAATGAGATTTGTGAGCTGTAGTTTGAAGGGCATTACTAAAGAAAACACTTCAGCAGTATTCAGCCTCCCCTTTCTAGTGAATATAGGCCAGAGTACTGATGATGAGAAAATGGAAGAACACATTCCAGCTAATTTAGTCTATCATTTATTGAACAAGAAGTATTATTTTACTCTTTGATGTGACTTAAAAGGACTTAATTACCCTCTGCTCATATTTAAAATCCTCTTGATTCCTTACCAAGAAATAATACCTTTCTACATAAGGGTGGAATATTTAGCCAGATCAAATTTAAAAAAAAAAAAAAGCCTTGAGTTTCATCACAAGCTGTTAAAGCTATTATTTTCTACTAGGTGACACCCCGTTTAACATAGACCATATTGTTAATAGTTATGGGATTTTATTGAATTAATGAGACTGTTATCATGTAGTAGAATGTCTTGCTGAGTTAATTGAAACTGCAGAGATTATATAAATGGTATTAATGAACTTTGACTGCCTGATGCCTCAGCTTTAATAAAGACTGCTTGGTGGGCTAAATGAACATAGGCAGATAAAAGAACAGGTTCAATTTTGCAAGCCTACAGGCTGTTGACAAAGAAAACTTCTTTACCTCTGTTTTCAACTGGTGTGCATCAGTTGTGCAGTAATTCCAGGAAGGGGTTGCCACAGGACTAAGGGGAGAGGTGAAGTGCACAAAATGAAATAAGTTTGAATCATGAAAAACTGTTGATTTAATCTCTCTGAAGTGTGTTCAGTATATCACCCAAGTCTCATGGTGCTGTGCCAAGTGCACAAAATAGCAAATGATTGTGGTTTTCCTCTCTTGTTATGGACATGTGTTACTCGTATTAGGAGCTTTTCTTTTTTCTGACTTCATTTTAAATGGGTGGGTTTGTTAATTTTTTTTTCTTAGTTAATGCTCCCGTTAGCTTATTCGTAACAATCCTGCTTTTTTGTCCCCATGTCCCTGTCTTTCTAGATAACATTTCCTCCATGTCCATCAGTACCCTTCTCTGAATTATCTAATAGGAAATAGAGTTTGTGGTGTGACAGGATATGTTTTCCCCTCTTTTAGCAAATACCTATGTTGCAGTCAATCTTACTGTTCTACTGTTTTTATTGGTTCTGGTTTTAGCATTGACTCAAGCCCCACTTCCCATAATAATTTCCACTACATCAAAGCGTAGCATATTTTCTTGAAAATAATGAACGTTACCATTCATTAATCAATAACAGATCACCTCCAAGCTGCTCTCTCCACAGTAACCTGAATACAAAGCCCAAATTAAGGGGTTTGTCTTCGTATTCAGTATCCATCATGGAACTGGTCCCGTTCTCCTGAGAATTCCTCTGTCTCATTTGTCTCATACAAGAGCTATGTTTTCTATAACAATTACAACTCTTGACCAATAAATGAAAACTTAGACTTTCTGTCTGTCAATATCTGTACAGGACCCAATGTTTCTCTTTCAAAATGTTTCGGAAAAGTTCTAGTTCCTTGACAATTTACGTCCTTATAAATGCAAATAAAGTGTATCTGAAGTTTACAACATTTTATTGAAACTGCTACATAGCTTCAGCACATAGTCTTTCAAAGAAGCAATTGATAATTTTTGTTTAATATGCATATATGCATGAAAGTTGTCTTTGTAGTAGGGTTTGTGGATTTTTGACCAGCGTGAAGTAACATTTTATTTGATGAGGAAAAAGATATTTCTGTCCCTAGTCAAATGGAGTAGAATGTTGTGAAGCTGTATTACAGATTTTAAAGACAGAATCCTCACTGGGATCGTTGAATTTTTAAATAGCAGCTGTAAATATAAAATCTAAAGAGAATAGTATATTGTACTTAAGAATATGTAAAAATTACTCTTAGCATTCTTCTGTAAGACTGGTGCCAAAATTCTGGTCCTGGTTACACTGAAAAGCAATAGTGACAACCTAAATCACTAGGCTAACTATTGTTCGCTCATGATTTGCTTGCCCTTAGAGAAGTCAATATAATTTTGAAATGTATTGATTAATTTTTCGTTGTAGAAATACTATAATTCTAGTTTTCTTTCTAAACCATAGGCTGCATTATGAAATCAATATTCTGTTGAAGCTGAGAAGTTTCATAAAATTATCTGAGCTCTGTCAACTTATTTATTAACACTAAAGAGTTTTAGTAAACTGCAGCATTGAAAAAATATGCGTATGCATATTACACTGGTAGCTTTTCTTGCCAAGCTAAAAATCTCTAAACATTTGAAGTACTCTTGTAACTGAAAGATCAGAGGTATCTTTTTGAAATCCTGATATTTCATCATCTGTTTGTTTTGTTTTTGTTGTATGTGGGCAGCCACATTATGATTCTACTTTATTACAAATTTGATATATTATTATGTTGGAAGAATGCATGATGTGCTTTTATCTTTTATAACTAATTCTTATTTTATGTCCTCTTTCTTTTCCTTGAGCTTACATGTTTACAGCTTAGGTGATAATTTTATTAGATAGTCAAGTTTTTGGCATTTCCATTTTTCTTATATCATGTTAGTATATCAGGGCAATAAAAGATTAGACATAGAGCTGTTAATTAACTGAGGGCTGTGAGTATGCATGAAAGTACAGGTTATCTACAGTTTGTTTAAGTATTTTTGCCACTTATATTTATTGTCTAATCCTGGATTTATCTCCCTGTCTCCTTTATTCCTTTCCTTTGGTGTGACACTCTTGGTATGACCGTAAGACTTTCAGAAATCTAAAGTTGTCAATTTGTAATTTAAACCATATTGAGAATTTCACATCAGCTCTTGAAATCAAATGACTACATTGGGTTTAATTATTTTTTTTTCCTAACTGAGTTTCTATTTAGCCTTCACCTTTCAAAGTCCCTAAAGGTTCAGAAACTGGAAGAGAAAGAAAAACTCCAAACTTCAGTAGTTTTGCTGTCTGTAGCTTTGCCCAGTCAACTGACTGCTATTGCGTCAACCCTACAGTTGAGGCTATAACAGTCATCTCAGTCCTGAAGAAATTAAAAATTGAATTTCCTAGGATTTCAGTTGATTGCACACAGAGAAATTTTCAAACCTCTTTTTTTTTTTTTAATTCAAAACTGCTAGGTATTGGAATTTTCTCATATGAACAGATAAGATTCACTAACTTGCATCAGAGCACACTCAAAATAGATAATAATCTAGAGAAGGCTTCCATGTCTACCTCTCTGCTCAGTTTGGACCACTTGAGAAAAATCCTCATTCTTTCCAATAAAACTTAAAGATTTTTAGTAGATAATGAATCTGATACATACGAAGCTGATAAGCTAACTTACTGATATTGAATACTCCTCAAATGCCACATGTAAAATCAGCTGATACACCAGCAAAGCAGCAGGGTGGCTGCACAAGGATGTAACTCTTTGATTGCTCACATCTGTCCATCACTGAAAGGGCTGGAAAAGCAAATGGAGAGGCTTGCTGGCTTGGAACTGCATGCATAAAAGTAGAACAACTCCTGTTTGGGGACCCATCATCTGACTCCCGGCAGCAGCCCGAAATGCCTAAGAGCTTGATGGGCCAGTCCCAGTGCTTTCTGCCAACAGGGTAGATATGATGGTCTTCCTGGCACCCGTGTCTGCACAGAGCATGCACCTGGAGCTGCGACTGAGGATCCACTGGGTGAAGTAGTTCCGCTTTTGAACTAGAGCTCTGTAGGCACCATGCTCTCCCTCCTACAGCCAGGGCATGGACTCCACCATGAGCAGGACCCAGCAGAGGCAGGCTGGGCACCTGGCAGCAAGCCCTGGTGTTTTTGGGCTGAGGTCAGGAGTTCTCTCCCCTTAGAGTGATCCCTGTGTCCAGAGGCAGCCAGACAGGTCTCAACCCTTCATCCCATGTCCCTTCCATCACCAAAGGGCTCACCTCACTTCTTTTGTATGGCTGCCACCCACCCCAGCCTGCAGGTTGCATAGTTCTTACCTGCCATCCTAGTCTACCACTGGGAGCCCAACTCTCCTGACATAACCAAATTGCCCAGTTGTAATACCCCAGATCATCCTTTCCCCTGATCTGATCTGAGGGAAGGGGCTGAATATCTGCTGAAGATGAGGTTTCATTCTGCAGGCTATAGTTTTACCTGCCAATGCATTGGTGCTTGCCAACTGGATTGCTTGTTTCCTGAAGCGGTTGCGTTTGCTCCTGCTAACAAATTGACAAGTCCCAGGTGAATCAAGGCAAATCAAGACTGCTTTTTTGTTCCTGATGAGCTCTGGGTAAAAGCACCAATGGCTGGCCTGGGTGGCCTAGCTGTGCTTCTAATACTGGCCCAAGTCCTCGACTATCCACCATTTTTTTCTGTTCCGATTCCTGCATGTTTTTATATTTTTTCTGTATCTTAATATAGATTGCATATGTAAGTAATAGTCTGTAATGGAATGGTACCAGGTCTCCTATGCATTGTGTTATAATGAGTAAATATTATTTTTAATATTGACATAACAACTTAAAAAAAAAAAAAAAAACACAACTCATTTTATTTCTTATATGCATAGGAATGCAAGTTGCATTTTCTAATTTCCCAGATAGCTGCCCTTGTCTCCTCTGAAGGCTACTGTTATGCTTTTATCTATGGATAAAATATTGGGTTTGGAACATTATCAAATAAAAAATAATTTTAAATTTTGTAATTTGTCCCTATTGCAGATCTTTGTACTGTGGATCATGATTGTAATTATCATAAATAAAATTCATATTTATGAACATAAATCTTGATGTAAACGTCCAGGTGCAGGGTTGCCTACCATTGCCAATTTGTCGTCTGTTGTGTTAGAAAAAGGGAGAATAACTTGCTTCTGTAAATTATAGAAGAATAAACACTTGGATTTAATCAGAATTTAAGATAAAAGCCATTGATAATTAAACCATTTTGTTAACAAAGTAAATAAATGTTCATGCTTTTCGTTAGTCTGCATCTAATATTGCTGGCTGCCTGATGCTGTGCATTAGGAACTATTGTATGACTGGAAAAATCTTACTATGCTTTTGCTTCTTTTTATGTTTAGGGTATGCATGAACTTTTAGCTCCCATTGTCTTTATCCTGCATTGTGACCACCAAGCTTTTTCACATGCCAGTGAAGCTGCACAACCAAGGCAAGCATTGTGTTTTATTTACATAGTATTAAAAATCCGCTTTCTTAAAAAAACAAATAAGTTGACTGGACTAGAACTTATACATATGTGTTCCTTAATTCTTTGTTTGTGATTGATAAATTGCTATCAGAAATTGTTGGATCTTCTTGCTTTGATGGGAATGTCCTTATTTCATCTTCGTTACTACAGCTTCAGAAAGGGGGATTAAAAGTGTAGACGTTGGCCCTTCACAAATATTAGCCAGTGAAAAAAGGGGAGGCAAGAAACCTAAGGAACACCTTCGTCAAAAAGCTTACATACCTACCTACCTACCTACCATTTCACCTCATTCTTATTGCCAGAAATGGTTTTGTTTTTGTTATTGCAGAGAGGAGACAGATTAGAAAAACACAGTCATAGAAAGGACATGTTACCAACGCTCTTTCCTCGTATCTTAGGAGACAAAAAAACTATGTAGACAAATTGTTGGGATTGATATTTCGTTCATCACCTGCAATGTTGTATCTGCAATCTCTGAGTATCCTTTGACTCGATAGTAACATTAAGTTTAGTTATTGATTCTCCATTTCACTCAAACTGTGTGCGTGCATGTAATCATACATATATGTATAAAATATTGCATCACACATGGTTGTCTGTCAACCAAATTCAGGCACTTTTTTTCTTGCCCTATATGTAAAGCTTTTTTTAAAGAAAAGAAAGAAACTAGTTGCCTTCTTGTATCACTTGTGATATTTGGATCATTTCTTTTCATTTATCTTTTTGCACTCTCTTTTGGAGTTCAGCAGCAAATAAGAGCCAATTTAGTTAATATAACCTCTGTTAGCACCCCTCAACGTGATTGCCCAGAGGCAGTTAAGCATGAGGATGGAGATTATTTACAAGTGTATGTTTTTATTCAATGCCTGCCCTTCAATATACTGAAATTACCTAGAAGATGCTCTTCAGTGCTAAGTAACTTAAAATAACCATGTGTTCTGCACAGCATTCTGTTCCATTGCCACCGAAAAAGTAGAGCCAAGCAGCAAAGTAGATGGAAAAGAGGTGCTGTCACTGATTAATTGCTGTTAAAGTACAATAAAAATACAGGCTATTAAAACAAAATAAATTAATGTTTTGATACTGCATATTTGACCAGTAACCATATTTTTTTCTGTTTGGGACAAACAGTGATTGATTGTGCAGCAATCAATTATTCTAGATCAAGCATATTCAAATAATACATTGTGACATTCAGTAATTTGTTATTTGGAATAATTAGATGGTTACTTCATTGTAGTGGAGACAAGGCAGCTAATTTGTTTTTGATCTTTATAAAAAGGAAAGACTTCATTTGTTCAATGGAGTTGCTCTTTTTAATTAAAAAGGCTAGTTTTCTCATTTGCACTTTATATGAAAGTTGGCTTATAAATACATAATAGTACATGCAGAACGCTGACCAAAAATAAACATTCACATTTGGATTGTTCACTGTTGCCTTTTTCAGCGAGGAAATGAAAGTTCTTTTGAATCCTGAATATCTGGAACATGATGCCTAGTAAGTTTCAACAACTCCTTTACATTTAATTTGCTCTTATTTGTAATACATTATTTAACACCAAGATTCTGCATTTTCCCCCTTCAGCGCAATGTTCACACGTCTTATGAAAACTGCAGAACATTGGTTTTCAACTTTCGAACATGACAGTCAGAAGGTAAATATTGCTCTAAAATATATTTATTTTATTTTTAAGCAAATGTGATTTTTAATATCAGTGAAGTAATTTGAAGCTAATAAGACGTCTTCTCTTAAACAACTTGATTAAAGCAGGCTCAACCAAGTTTACATTCTTTAGAAGTTCTTCAGAATTTGGTCATAAGCACTTGTGGAAAGTCTTCCAGCTGAGAGTTCCTATCTGTGAAAGATCGCTTGGTAATCAAAAGCTAAATGTGCAAATATGGGTTCTCCCATGTATGAGTGATGTTCTTGTGTAGCATTCGAAAGACTGCCTGCCATAGGCACATTTATGTGCCCAAAACCTGTGCAAATGTCATCTTAAATAAAGGCATTTAGGCAATGTTTAACATATCGAGGCTTGAATTGTTTTAAACTGTTTACAGTATAAACAATTTGCTGTGAAACCAAAACTTTAATCACAGACTGTCCATCAAAAGTCAGGGTGCATCTTCCCCTGACTTCATCACTTCATTTTCTTACTTTTTTTCTTCTTGAGCCCAAGGTATTCAAACAGAGGGAATCTGTGCCCTCAGATCTCCTGTGTAGCTCTCCAGACACCACTGTATTTAGTATCTTACTGCTTTTCATAGGGAAGTGTTTTCTACAGAACTCTTTTTTGCAGGGACCTTTTAGGGACCATCTAGTCCTTGCCTGTAACCATTTTTCATGCATGACATGAGGGATGATTCCCTCAGTCAATTGCTCAAGATTGCCTTTGAATACTTTTTTCCTGTCTCTTTCTCTGTTTACATTTCTCTTTTTTTTTTTTAATTCTGAAAAATTATTTACGTGATGGAGTGTATGTAGAAGGCTCTAGTAAAACATAACCATATTACAGGTATTGCCAAGACTTTCAGTGTATTATATCCTAAAAGAGTTGTCCTCCAAGCTTAGTTCCAGCTTGATTTACTTCAGCATTTTTCACATAGATCATGGGGTGAGTATCTAGAGTTAACAAGAAATTAGTAAGAATTTGGTTTGTTTTGGATGTCCACGTGTGTACACCAAAACCTGTATTTGCAAATTGTAATTAGGAAGTACTAGTTTGAGAGGTGGTTTTGCTTGTCTGTTGAAGAAAAAGATGTTCACCAAAGACACACAAAAGCTTTTATTTTCTTTAAATGATTAAATGCATATCTGCATATATTATATTAGACATGAAACATAGGCATCTTGACCTAAGCTATCTACAGTTATAAATTACTATTTGGATAATTTTCAGGAGCTAAGGATAAAGCATATGAGATACAAATTTTATGAACTTATTACATAGTCGCTTTTATTCCAACAACAAAGCTGTGAGACGTTTCTATGAGTGTAGCTTTTCAGAATGTAGTGTATTCAAATGTATTTGTTCCAATTTCTGTGACAGAAGTGATAAAGTCTGAGGTTGTATTTTATTCTGAGAAATAACTAGGTCTGCTTACAGACTTGCAGTGCTTGGGTAGAAGGTGAAAGTTTACATTGCCCTTTCCAGTCCTTTTGTGGCATAAAAAATTAACAATGCAAAGCGCATGGATTAATATCTAGTTGTTTGTTCTTGTTCTTTGCAAACATGTATAATCTTTAATAATCCTTTCTTGTACATATGCCTTTTACAATCATGACTTTGAGGGTTGGCTACATAATCAAGTCTGAATCTTCACAAAGGAAGCAATGAAAGCATGTGCTCTGAGAGACATGTTACATTTTATAGCCTCTAACAGTTGGTTCCATTACTCCCAATTGCCATTAGAGGAGCTTCTCCAGCTACTTCGTTCCCTAGTGGTTAATGAGAGAAATCTGTCCACATTTTATACTTCTGCTATGTCCTAGCCTCTCTTTACTGCGGTAGCATTTGTTTCTTAAATGCGTGAATATATAAATTGTATTAGAATCGAGTGCCAGCCATTCCAGTTCATGTTGTGGTAGGTAATGTTTTGTGGCTGGATTTGGTGGCTCTGTTCCAAATACTTGAATCTAAATTTTTCAGCTGCGTTTCACTGGTATCCATATTGAAACCATTCTTAGAGGTGAATCTGATGCTCTCCTGTAAACAGTATAGCACATCTCTGAGCCGGCCCTCTTTTTGTCTTTTTGTTGTGAACCACCTCCCCTTGGGATTGATCATTTATATTTTGTGCTAGGAGTAGGTGACTAAACCCGTGCACTCAAGTATTTTCCAAGACTTAGAAGCTCACAAGAAGAAAACGTGTGTTTTGTCTCACATGGCAACTTAATATATAGCGAGTATGGGCAGGAACGCGGTGTCATGTGGTCCACTTGGCTTCTGTGCTTTAGTCATTTCTAGTTAAACATTTCGACGACTTGGTTGTATCAGCTTATTTGAACATCTTTCTGTTTGGGCTGTTTCTTTCACACCAACTGATGTGATTTTTTTGAGCAATTGCAACTAATTAAATGTATTATCGTTTTCTCAACCAAATTGCGCGAGAGGTGACAACAGACATATCATATGCCCCCTACTCATCCACTGAGCTTCTTGGTGGAGCACACCACATCAGCAGGCATGGATAGTCAAGGCATTGATTATTGATTGCAACTGCTGTCCCTACAGATTCTGTCATACTTGGAAGATTTCTGTTAATGAAGTTAATTTCTGAGATGGTGATGAACTGCATTTTGATGGATACCATTTACTTATCTCATACTTTTAAAAATGGCAAGCCAGCATATATTATTTGATGCACTTAGCTGTGTTGATAGTCAGTCAGTCTGACAGTCAGCAATGTGTCGGTGCTGCATTATGCCAAGGTGGACAAATGCTGCAAGTGACAAAGAGCTCCAGTTTTGGCACTCCTCCGTAAAAGGAAGCTTGCATTAGTTTTGATATTCAGAATCTTTTGACACTTGAGCCAGTGTTTAAGAGTCTGTCTTCTAATTTTGTAAAGATGGCTTTAAACCCACAGAAAACTAATGATGTAAAGGCTAATCTGAGTAACTAGCTATTCTTCTCATGTTACAAGTTCAACTAAGTAGAAAGATTATAATGTTGAGATTTCTATACAAAAATCTATGTGTATAATCAAGAAAAGCTTAAAAATACAGATCTTTTGAGTCATCAGAGTTATGAGTGCATGCAGTGGTCAAGCTGAAGTTAAACTCAACTTGAATAAACCAGAATAAAGTTCATACTGCTTATGTGTGCCAACTGATGAAACATGCAGGGTCCATGAACATGTAGAGTTACAGATTTTATGATTAGTTTCAAAGATAAATTGATATGTTTATGCAAAAATTACTATAAAATGGCACTTAACATTAAGGCATTGTTATCATATCATACTTTAGGAGTGTTTTTCTATATGGATTAGGAGGAAATTAGTGGATAGCCTTTTTCAGTATTTTGCATTCTAGCATACAACCAAGAAAATAATGAAATGGGTCTGAAGCAACAATAGGAAATAACCATACAATGGAAAAACAAAAATCAGGGTAAAAAGAAGGTTGCTTGATTTGGTAATAAAGAACTTAATAGAATAATTAAAAAACGAGGTAGGAGAAATATCCTTTCTCAATGTACCTGCAGCTGTGAAGAGCTTTAGTATTTAAGTTGCAACATTTCTTATTAGCCCCTAAGATGCTAGGTGTTTTATTTTAAATTTGTATTTGGTAGAACAGAAAAGATTTTGAATGAAAGGATGCAATTTCAGTGAACTTTATTTGACAGTCTGAGGGAGCTTTTATCAAGCAATTTGCTAGGGCATCTTAAATGAATGTGTCTTGGTACCACAATAGCATGGCAAAACCTCCACACTGTAACAGACAGATCAGTCCCTTTGCTGCAATTGCCATAACAAAGCAACAATTAAGCATATTTTAAGAAACAATTTATAATCGATCAGATCCTTAAATAGAAACATTTTACCTGAAATCACTGAGCAGCACCATGTAATATTTTCTGCAGAACAGAAATGGAATAATTAAAAAAACCTCAAACATTTCAAGCAAAGGAGATGAACATAAAAATAGGCTTTTTGCTAGAAATTAATAATTGTTTGCTGCCCACTTGAATATTAAACCATGCTGTAAATGATTCTGAAATAAGGGTACTTCTCTTCCTTCCTCTTAAAATGCTGATGCAGAGAGAATAGTGTTGAAGAGAGAGTATAACCATAGGAAACAACCTCAAGGATAGATTATACAAAAACCAAAACAAAACAAAAAAACTTGTTATTGAATGTTTAAAATAATGTGGTTTTCACTATATTGAACCAGGTGAATTTGTCTTTCAACAGTTTAAGCTGTAATGAAGTCTTCTGAAAATATTAACCTTTTGACCTTGATAATGCTTCTCTATCAATATACTGAGCAAAAGGGTAGAAAAACAATAACTGTTTTTTAAAGTGAAGCTTTCAGGTCAGAGAGCCATGACGACAGATTGCAACAAAGTCATTGAAAAATCTTCTCTTCTTGCTCTTCCAATTTTCCTTGTTTTATAACTTCAACATTGCTCCTGACAGTTTAATTCTCCATTTCCCTTTCCCTAATCTTTCTCTTGATAGGTTCAACTTTTTCTTTTTTTATTTCCCATCCTCCTTTTTACATGTTTTCTATTCAATGGAGTTCACTACTTGCTGCATTTCTTTCTAGCATTCTGTCTCTTTTTCAATACCACTTCACTCTTTTGCAAGAAGAACAGATTTAAAGCAGTATCAGGTTCAGGGATGCTAATACTCCAGTAGTTTTCTTTTTCTCTTTTCACTTGGTGTGTGTCGTGTTCTAGATCATGACATAGTTTGCATAGCCTTTAGGTCCAACCAACTACCTTCTAACTGTCACATTCATCTCACTGTTCTATTTCTTTTCTGTTCTAAAAGTTTTCTGATGCTTTATCAAAGTCGTGTAGATTTTGAGGTACAGCCACCAGATTTTCTGTATGAGGGAAAGCTGTTTAGAAAGGATTGTTCAAGAATAAGTTACTTCCTATTTGGTATGCAATTTATTGTCCTCTGAATGCATATATTCTCTACTAACTTACATTCATCTGCTTTGCTCTGAACTGACTCAGGCTGCTGATATTAAAGCTAAAATAAAGCTGTCAACACTTTGTCAGAGCATGAAAAGTAAAGCATGCACGTAAAAATTGATGTGCAGAACAAGGGGATGAACCTTGGCACTCCTGGGAAAGGGAATCCCACAATACTGTCCACAGAAGTGGATGCTTGAGATTCCTCTTTTGCTGGAAAAGAAACGAGTTATTAATATTTTAATTTTTATTTGAAAGCCAATTATTAAACCAAAACAAATCTCTTGTAGACAATTCCTTTAGACAGTAAGGCTTCATGGGATGTTCTTTTTTTCCCTTTCTTTTCTGTGTCTGCAGGAGAAAGATGTGATGATTACACCTATGCCATTTGCAAGGCCACAGGACTTAGGCCCATCTATTGCTATTGTAGCAAAGGTAAACCAAATTCAGGATCATCTGCTGAAGAAACATGATATTGAGCTGTACATGCATCTGAACCGACTGGAAATTGCTCCACAGATTTATGGGCTGTAAGTGTTTACAAAGCATTATTTAATTTAATTCCTTTTATTTTTCTTGCGTTTTATTTGGACTTTTTTTTTCCTTAAACTTAGGATTAGTAGAAAGGGACTAAAAAGGAATACTTATCTCTTAGAAGTTATTTGATTGACAGCATTACAGTAAATGACACCCTACTGTTGTATTTGTGACAGTGGCATTCTCAGTGCAGATGAAGTCTGTTCAGTACATATTAGAGATCTTGATGAAGACTCCCAGTGCAGTGGTGAAGTAGATACTGAATCGAGTACCTGTTCTACCTGTGATTTTCCTATGAGAAGAAACGGGATAATAGGACACGAAGAAACGGGATAATAGGACACGAAGAAACAGGATAATAGGACACAAAGAAAGGGAGAGGGAGAAAATTATTAACATAAAATGGTTTATTTACTTATTTCTATCACCAATTCGGTATCAGTGAACATACTGCTATTGCAGTAATGAGGTTTTGGATACTGGTAATAAAGGTGTGGTGGGGCATGTTAAAAGTTAAGGCAAGGAGATAATAAAGTGTGTGTATGCAGAGTCAGCGCAGGTGGTCCTTTTTCCATTGAGCTGGCTTAGACCTGTTCAGCTGATTGTGTACTGTGTGCCCCCATTCCAGGGGGCTGATTGGGTCAGATGTGACTTTGAATGTAGCCTTGTCCCCGTGTTTGCACAGCAGCACATCGAGACCAGTTACGGCTCCTATAGTAAGTCTGGGTCAATACAGAGCATGCAACTTGGACGAAACATGAGTGACTGTGAATTGACTGTGGTTTTGAGGAAGAATTTTGCCTTCATCGTCTGGAATTCTAGACATTCAATTCATTTTGATCATTCTTTAACGAGTTGGCAAGCCATATGTGCAGTTGAAGTGACAGAAAAATGACACTTTTAATTTTTTTTTTTACTTTTTGTGATGATTTAAAATAAGGTTGGCTTTGCCTTAAATGGAAAAAAAAATCTTCATTTATAGGTGTGAATTTCCAAATGTAATTGTGAATTAGATTTAACAACTCAATGGAAAGTAGAGAAAGGAAGGGAAAAGATGACTGTGTAAATGTCACACCATAACTGCAATACTTAACATTAAAGTCTAATTTGATGTTATGGTAAAATGGAAAAAAATGCTGAGACATAGTATACCCTCAAGAGAAGAGTTGAACTAAGACAAAGTAGTAGTCCTAGACTTAGAAATAACATATCTTAGGAAGACAAATGTAATTCTACAAAGCTTATTTAAATAATTTTGATAGGAATGTGTTACAGGGAGAGGAAGAATTAGCCAAGTAAACTCAAGGTATTAAAAGTATGAAGAGGACAGATTGTCATATTACAGGATTTTTTTCATAGTGTAGAGCTGTGTGTTTTCTTAATACCTTCACTAGTCTGGAAAAGAAAGCAACCATCCCTAATAAACTTCAGGGGTAGTAATGAATAAGTAAGCAGTATAAACATCAAGGAAAACAAGAAGACAGTGTTTCTTTTTTATAAAGGCTTATGAAAACACACAGAAAGTAAAATAAGATAAACCTCAGAAATTTGCAAACAGATATTTTGGGGCAAAAATAATTTGTACTGTAGGTATTCACTTCAGTATAAGATTTTGCCTTTCAGGAAGAGAAATAATTGAAAGAAAAAATTAGACTTTAGATCAAAACATAACATTATAATAACAGAAGAATGATGCAGTCTGGTGTGGCATAAATGGAACTGAATCTGAATAAAGAAATTTACAGTTAAGGGAATGAATTATGAGAGAGAGCTTCAGGCTGACTATCAGGAAAACCTTACTAACAGGGAGCTGTTAGACTGTAAAATAATATATCAAAATTAACAAAGGAAAAAACATCAGAATATTTTAAAGATAGGCTTTGAAAAGCTCTCAGAAATGGATAGTATCATAGAGACTGAGTCTGCATTGGCAGAAGAGGAAAGTAGGTTGCCTGTGAGGTCATATCCTTCTCTGATTTCTGGTTTAATGCAGAGGACAGGAGAAAAAGAAAGGGAAAGCAATGTGACTGTGTTGTATTATTCTCACCTTTAATGATGTCTGAACTCTTCAGAATAGTAATTTCCAGTATTGAGCCAGCTGACAGTCTCAGATGCTGGATCTTTTCCTGTATTTAACATTTCTTGAACTAGAAACAGCATTTCTTAAGCATAATAGGTTATTAATAATTGCTAAACATGACCCAAGTGCAGAATTCATGTGAGCTTTTTGTTGAAATTTTTTGTTTTGCTGAAGTTTGTTGGATTTGCCAATAATAAATATTCATCTGTCAGCCTTGATGTCACTCAGAAAATATAGAAATGGTAGAAGAAAGATGGCAAACTTCCCTCAAAAGATGTTGTGGTGCTTCTGATGAAACGTATCAATGCGAAAGGCTTGTATTTAGTGGCAGTATCCCCTAGACTGAAGAAATTATATAGTTTACTTCTTTAAAAATATGGTATTTTATACTTTGGCATGCTTCTGTAACCTTCTGGGGCAAGGTAGAAATAAGTCTAACTTACTCTTTGTATTTTCATACAATTGATTTCAACCTCTGATGTTTAGGAATAGTTTTTATTTTTCAAACACTAGCAAGACTTGTTCTGCTGGGAGGTCAGGTACTCTAGGCTGTTGTACATTTCTGTGGCCAGAAACTGTACTTTAAAATAAAATGTGGTTACACACTTCTTGAAATTATGCTTACCTGCTTACCAGACCAGTTTTAAACAGGCATTTCAGTACATGTGGTACGACTCATTAATTTTGATTGCCATCCAGTGGTGCAAAGGTTTTATGCTGGTTTTGTGGAAAAGTATACTCATTATAGCATTTATCATACCAATATGAAAAATATTTAGTTTTTTCTTCATCAGTTAGTCCTCTGCAAACCAGAGTGTCATTAGCCACAGCCTGGCATGCCAGGCTGCACGCTGGGAGGTGTTTCCAGTTTAAAAGAAATCCTCTTTTTTTCTGTGTAATTTACATTTTGTGAAGTTTTAGCTCAGGGGTGTGGATTTGTCTTCTGGAGGGCATCAGCAAACAGACTTTGCATTACCTGGCTATCTCGTTTCATTGCTGATCAGAAAGATAACCCTGTCAGGTATGGCAAGGTGTACTAGGGTCCTGGCTATGCCATACTTCTGTGCTCTGGTTGTTCTAGTTGTTGTCATATACAGTAGCAGCCTTAGCACAGGAATTTCTGTAGCTGGGAATTTTGTGAGAGTGCACATTCATTCCCTTGCAGTCAGCCACTGCGTATCCCTGTGGTAATTATTCAACTGCTATTAATACCAGCCGAAATGGAACCAGCAATGCAAAGATAAAGGCTTTGTGCTTTATCATTCTTCAGTCTTCTTTATTTGTCATGTCTCTAGCTTGTTTTTAGACCCTAAGATAATGTTTTTCAGAAGAACATTGTTTCACGTTCCTGGTAGCACTGCGAATTGCATAGAACTGTATGCAAACTGTAATACTTATCATATCTAATTTTGTACTTAGTAAAGCACAAGAATGGTTTGAAAATAAAATGAAATTAATTACATTAATAGTTCAGTGACATGCTTCCTGATAATAAACTTTTTTCTAAATAAAAACAAAAAAAATACTAAGATTGAACAAAAAGATTGGATACTCTGAAGGGTTGACAGATTGAATATTCAGTGTAATTGTAAAATTAGATGAGTTAACAATGATTAATGTCCTAGATTAAATGGTATTCTAGTGTTAATTTCTTTGACCCTTACATCTAATTCATGTTAAAGTACGAAATAATTATTGCAAAACCATTCTGCAGTTTCTGCACTGGCCAGCGTTTGCAGTGGCAAATTAAGCAGGTTGTGCTCTCAGCCTGAGAAAGGACAAGGTTTGAGGAAAGTCTTCATATATCTGTATTTTAGGAGATTTTCTTCCATTTGTAGTAATTTGTGGTAGAGCATTTCTTTTACATTTCTTTTACATTTCATTGAAAAGATGAATCAATTGGAAAAGTCCCACATAATATCATCATTACTACTTTATTTTATTTACTGTGTTTCAAAGTGAATTATATTGCATCAAATGAAATTCTGATAGAACCTCATGCAATAAGTAAAGCCAGATCATGTAAATATATATGATACAGTTGTATAGAAATAATGCACACAGAGATAATAACAAGGCATAAGTGTAAAAAGCTTTATTTAAGAACAAAAATTAACTGTTGGCATAAACTCAGTAGCTTCTGCATCGTAACACTGATGGCAGAGTTATATTAGTTAAGCAAACTCTTTCTAAGCACATATCCGACAGACAATAAAGCGCATGCAGAAGTGAGCGTAAATATTTCATGATAGCCTAATCTCAGTACAAGAAGGCCTTCTTGGAGCTTTCGGTGCCGATGACTTTGCCTCCTGCTGCCACTCTGCTTTGTGATGATCAATCAGATAGACATCCTGCCTACTGCAGTTCGAGATGCAGTTTCAGCCCTTTAGGCTGATACCACAATTATACTTCAGGAAGAAGCCTATCTCATGAAGCAAAGAAAAAAAGAGAAGAGAAGGATGCAAACCAAGTTACAGGGTAACTAGGCACAAGTGTAGATTTGAAGATAGCATTAGAAAGGTTATGTTACAACAAAGTCAACAGCAGATGTGCTGCTCCACCATTACTATTCTTAGCTGCTTTGCTATGAGCGCAGCTGTGAGGCATCCACCTGTTTTAGTTTCTCTCCTATGCCATTATGGTACCAGGCAAGTATTCTTTTCCATAACCATATTGGTCTCTGGAGGGAGAATTTAAAGGATTTTACCTGTGCAATGAAGGATCATAAATCATATTCATTGTATCAAGAAAAAAAAATTTAAATCCTGCCAGTCATCAGAATAAGAAATCTTGATGATCTCCAGAAAAAGTAGATCAAAGATCAGTCTTGCTAAGGAGGACTTTATAGATCATCCAGGATGCCAGGCTTAATTTTGGATTGTCAGACTTCACAAAAAAAAAAAAAAGAGAGAA